CCATCTCAGCTTGGCTCGATGATTTGTGTTGTGCGTCTCTGTCTTTGAAATACCATGCAACCGAAATTCATACTGACAAAAGCTTACTTCCAACTAAATCTTGATCATAAATTTACGAGTCAAATAAATTTGAATTTTTCCTTGTAAACCGCATTGCGAATAGGAAAAGACAATCAGCCGAAACATTACGTCTACAATGAAATAATTCGCAAAACTTTGTAGAATTTAGCAGATTCCTTTCCATAATCGTACTCCGAAAGGCAGTAAGGATTTTTTTCCCACCATACTGAGCGCTTTATAATATTGAGACTCTGCTGGTGCTTGTGTGGGGCGCAGGTGTGAGGTTGCCTTGCTTTACTACCGCCACATTTCAGGAGCGAACCAGCACAATAAACTCCTTACCATGGGCGCTCCCCTCCTGTCATTTGCACCTGCTGCCAATGTACGGAGTGTTTAGACGCATTCTCTAGTTTCGTTTATTCTTAGGAGTACTTCTATGAACGCTTCTTCGGTCTTTGTTGTGTGTCGTCTGCTTTCATACTATATTTTGTTGCCATTCTGTGATAGAAAAAAAACATTATCTTGTTAAATAGTTTTACAACTTTTTGTCGTTGCTCAAGCCAGTGCAATTTTGCGTATCGTTATATTATTGCATTATTTATTTAAGATGCATGGTTAGTTAATTGTATTAACAATCTGGTAGGGTATCATCGCAGATATTTTTACCTAGCACTTAGTTATATTCAATTACGTGTGTGTTAATAGTAGATAACTGCTCTATTATAGTTTTATTCGCCAATTTTTACATATTCCTTCACAATGATGCACGTAATAAAATTAAAAACTTACATATGATGTCTATATAGGCAAATAATTTCTGACAGAATCGATTAAAGAATTTGCAATACTTTGATTAGCTAGATTTCCGCGGAGGCATATTCGTGGGGCCACACAGCAGTCTTGAAGCTTATCGTACGCCTTCCAGTTACCTTTCAATCTAACTCCGTTCACTTCTCAAATAGTTAGAACCACTTTACACAATCATGAGCTTAGCCAAGCACAAGTATTCGCTTCTTGCCTCTAAAAATGACGAATGAAAAGAAAAATGAATGAAAGCAGCAGAACGACGAATGAAAGCAGGAGAATAGTCATTCTACTACTTCCTGACATTTTAAAAGTTCCGGGACAAATGTTCCCTCGACTCGGAGCCAAATTTCTAACGATGTTTGCTCGACGTAGTTGGGAATAAACAGTCTGACAATTGGTAAAAGTGCAAAGAATATCAAAGAAAATTCCAGCAAAGGTCCTGAATCAACATGCCTCCAGTACCGTATTGGGCAAAGCCAAGTCGATGTTTCCAAAATTCAAGACTCGCAGCAGAATTGAGTCTGCCCGATTCTTTTAACGTTCGCAAGAGCTTGTCTTGAGAGTAATAGCGGCAAATACTAAGCAGTGCATGAAAATTTGTCATATTCAAGGCAAAGATGCGTGAAAATGACCATTGCTTTGAACTACTGTGACTTTGCCATCCTCAAGAGGAATCTAATTTTTTTTCGTAGCATCCTGTGCTGTAAAAGAAAAAAACTGAAACTTCAATAACAAATTATTGCACATGAAGCCATCATTTATACCAACTAGAATAAAATCTATTTTCTATCATAAAGAGTGTTTTTTTCGCCACATTGCAAGGGGAATCAACAGAATTGTGCCTCTAAAAAGCACATTTTATAGTGACGCCAATCCCAAAATGTTGAATTACGACCCTGTACTCCGATAAACGGACGATAAATCATCCATTTATTATTCGCTAGGTGAATTACGAGGCTATACTTTATTTGAAGGAATAACTGTCAACAACACCTGATTCATTTGATAACGTAACGTACCGGGACCTCACCACGACTTCACGTTGGATCTACTACGTAACAGAAACGGCCACCCACCAAGCGTTTCTGAGATGAGCTCCTGGAAGCTGATGGAGTATCTGAATTGTGAAACAAGAATCCAGGCAACCACCAAAATTTTTTATTGAGCCAAAAATACCAGCTTGCCACGGTCGTTATTAATAGAGTTGCCCGCCATGCCTGCCAACGAATGCTTGGTAATGAGGTTGCTTGCGGCCTCTGCGCGCTCAGAAACCTCACCGCAGAAATGACATTTTCAGTGCTCCATGCGCAAACGATTTTACTCCTCCAAAATAGGGAAATATGAAAATAAATAAGTTGGAGCAAATGTCAACTGGGAACTTGTTACCAGCAAAATATGCTGTAGTGGTTTTCAGGCGCTATGTGATATTTGTATTCTTAACGCTTACAAATCTAACTATGCAACGAGTTCATCTCATCACTGAGTTATGAAGGAATCATAATATCGTTGTTATAATATGTGGCTTCCGGACTGATGCTTTAGGTTGTCGTCTAAATGTGAACGTCAGGGACGCATGATTGGATATCCACTGGTCAGACAGAGAAATGTTTATTCTCAGGAGACAGATGCAGTGCCTTGAGTTTTTATTATGGTCATGATGATCGTCTTTTTAACGATTTCAAATAATTTAATTCATTTAATACAAATAATTTATTGACCTTCGATGTTTGAATCATGGACGAAAAACGAAAACGAGCTCAAATTTTATATGCAAATAAAATAAGTACCTACGTACTAAAATTTCAAGAGCTGATTGTAATGTCCCTATATTAGGCCGATCTCAGGATCAAAAAATAATTTTTATCGTATAAATATGATATGTACAAAATTACATAATTATTTTTGTGTAATCTTGACTATGCTGAACCTAATGTTCTCCTCAACCACGACCAATCATCGGCTAATAGCAACCTATAACTTTAGATTAAATTTCTTTGAGAATGTATAGCGAAACAAGTGCGTCGTTAAGTTTGTATTGCTAGGCGCCGTAGGCTTAATAGTTAGAATTGCTAGGTGCCGTAGGCTCACTAGATAGGAATACTAGGCGGTGTAGGCTCAATAGATAGGCTTGCGGTGCACAGTAGGCTCAATTCTAGGATTGCTAGGCACCGTAGGCTCAATATTTAGGATTGCTAATGGCCGCAGGCTCAATAGTTAGGAAGCCTCGAGCCTAACGCCTTATGCTGAATTTTAAGGCAAATGAAGAGGCGTAAACGAGCAGCGTGGGAGCAGGAGTTGCGAGCGAAGGTCGTTTGATTGCTCGCTGCCTGGCATCAATAATGAAAAGTGCACAATAATGATGACGTAAATATCACCGTGGATCGTGATGATGCGGAAAGAGTGATGGCAATGTAAATATTGCTCTGGAATAATTGGTGCTTAGCCATATTTTTTGAGGTTTTAAAGAGGGTGAACGAGCAAAATGGAAACAAAATCAAGATTCCAACTAGTGTGTACACATAGCGCTTGAAATATATTTTTTGCGACCAGATTGCCTGTAGACAAAAGTTCTTAAATTATTCAGCTATTACGTTTATTTGTTTAACTAGCTTCAGTTTTCAGTGAGATAACTTGTATGTTTATGATCGCATAATTACACTCCTAAGCAGAAAAGTGCAATAGTTCTCGGAGATCTGTAGATTGTGCTGTTGAATTTGTTAAGCATGGATGTCGTCGTTGCCTTATAGCTTAATCTAAAAGTTTTATGTAAATGCCTGGTCTAGCCTAATTAATCAAATGGTGTTCCCATTTCCTCGTATTACTTACATTTTTCACGCATCTGTTGAACAAAAATCTTATTTGACATTTTTCATTACATTATTATTATTGGCTTTAGTTCTCTTTACCTTCTTAAAGTGTTCTTCTGCAGGCTAATTTTATGGGTCGTGAAAAGTTGTCTCGTCAACTGATGTGAATTCTAACGAGCTTGTCCAAAATCGACTCGGATATTTGAAAACCCACGGATTTTCATCCCAATATTTCAGTAACTCACTTAAGGGAACGCGTCTGACCGCATCAAAATGAACTATCCAGATCGGCAAGTTGATTTTTAGAACAAAGTTAAATAACTACAACTTAACAGAAATTTTATATCTGGAGGAGTTATTTGTTTCTTCGATTAGACACTCTAAATAGCTAATGTTCTTGTAAACGCTGGCCATGCCTGATAGTTATTGCTTTAGTTCTACGCTTATTTGAATTTGAAATTTTCCACTTTTGGAGCTATTAATATAAAATATTTGTTGAAAAGTGATTAAAAAAGGTCACATTAAATTGCAAGAAAAAAGTAACAGATTGCTCGACTGGTCGATCGGATTGTGGAATATGGTCTTTTTAGCGCATATTCTCATTTATGGAAAAAAGACGCCATATCTGTCCTTCCGTGACTAATTCGTTCGTCTGTAACTTCACGGATGGACGAGAAAATGCGCTCTGTCACACACTGCAGTGAATACTGATCTAATTTTTCTATCTAATTTAATCATTGTCTAATAAGTTCTTTACATGAAGCTATTCTGTCTATTCTTCAGACAATACAAGAGTTTAAATCAAATTATTTGTTACTTTCCTTCATCGCCTGTTTTAAGCTAAGTACGACATCTTTATTGAACATCTTTCCTCTCCCGGTAACCTCTGCAGCATTATTTCAGGCTTAGCACAAACAATGGCACTAATGATAATGATGATGGCGATAATGGCACCTGCAAGAATATTTATCGGAGGACATTTAAATTCATCATCATTAAACAGGAAGCGCGGAACGCATTGCTCCATATCTCCTCATTTGCTGGCGCGATCGTAGCTTTCCGTGATTCATTAAGGCCATAATTTGCGGAATAAATAATATGAGCGAAGCGGACATGCGGATCCAGTTATGCTCCTTCATAAATACGAGCCATTAAACAATTAAGACGCAGACCCGGCCATAAACACGCGCGTGAATCGTTAATGAACGTTGGCAACCCGCGACCCGTTGCGTGTACGTCTCGTGACCCGTGACGTCCGTGCAGCTGTGTACGTTACATGTGACGTGTGCATAGTCACCCGTCACCCCTCCTCCTCACGTGATATGCATGCAGTCACCCGTCACCCCTCCTCCTCACGTGACATACATGCAGTCACCCGTCACCCCTCCTCCTTACGTGACATGCATGCAGTCACCCGTCACCCCTCCTCCTCACGTGACGTGCATGCAGTCACCCGTCACCCCTCCTCACATGACCTGCATGCAGTCACCCGTCACCCCTCCTCCTCACGTGACATGCATGCAGTCACCCGTCACCCCTCCTCCTCACGTGACGTGCATGCAGTCACCCGTCATCCCTCCTCCTCACGTGACATGCATGCAGTCACCCGTCATCCCTCCTCCTCACGTGACTTGCATGCAGTCACCCGTCACCCCTCCTCCTCACGTGACTTGCATGCAGTCACCCGTCACTCCTCCTCACGTGACATGCATGCAGTCACCCGTCACCCACGTCACGTATCATCGCATGCATCACAGGTTGGTGCTCGCGTCGTTTTAAACGACATTTTGTGTGAAGATAACAACCTACAAACTTGAAATTATTCTACCAGGAGCCAATTGAATAATTCTACTCATTTTTACTTCAAAAACGCCGCATTTTTTTAAATTAAGCACTGGACTATTTCTAGAAATTAATGCTCATGTAGATTTTTTCGTGCTTATCTATTTTATATAATTTTATTAATATTCAGTTATACTTGATATTTTTTGCTGTAACACTTACTGAACTTAATGAAAATAATAAGAAGTAAAAGAATAAGAGGATAAATTGCTTAAGTAGCATTTCTTGTTTAGAAATCTGCTTTCAACAATTCAGACTATTAAAATCCATCATTGATTAATAGTTGACAAAAAATTACCGACGGTTGTATTTTCGCGGGCAACCCCAAGTCAACGTAAAATACAAGCTTTCTAATGGTGAGTCCAACTTAAATGGACAATCAGTTTTTGAATGATGATTGCCGGGTCATTTTTACTTGTCTTAAGTTTGGACATTGAACTACCGACTTCAAGCCATGACGAATCACATCACAATTCAAGTATAATTATCGTTGAAATAACGCTATTCATTTTAGAACTAAATTTTGTTCGCAACCGAACCTCAATAAGCTCTCATGTTTCAAATTTCTTTTAACATCAGGAGCGTTTGCTAAATAAATTCCATTATATAATTCCTAAACAAAGTATTTCGCAGGTTTCTAATGACTTCAAAATTATAAATGTAACGAAAAACCTAAGTAATTTCTGTGAACTACTGCCCTGCAGACATAAGGTACAATATTTCGAGCTAACTTTATTCTGATATCAACTATTTGAAATTCACTGTTACTCTGTCCAATATATGCTGTCACTCCTGCATGTTTATTTATGTTACAAAATATAAAACAAAAGCTCTCTGAGGTAACGGATCATCATTTATGGGCCCTGATGTCATAAATTTGAGGAGATTTGCCCGAGAATTTTGTTGCTCCAGGTCTACACGATAGCGCCGGAAATATTCGGCGGCTTTCGCTGGATCCTTTTCGCGGTCGCGGAAAAATCGTGACTGCGATGGGAAGAGTTTCGTTCGATCGCCACCTCAGTGAGGAGTGTTCTTTCTTATCTTGTTGCTATGGGTGTTGGTGTTCCTAGATACGCTCAACTTTGAATATTGACCAGACCTTTCATCTTAAAACTCTGCAATGCCTTTTTCCCTGAATTTTGTTGCTTTTTAACTCTTTTTTCTTTAACTTTAAACATAACATAAAAATGAAGCTCATGGAATGTTTTATTTTGCTTGATTGCTAGCTTTACTAGTAAGGTTGAATTTATATCTGTTTCTTTATATTTCTCATCCATACAATTTAATTAAAAATAAATTTTTATTAATTTGCAGCAATTTTATATTTAGAATGTCTGCGAATTTACTGCTCGCTAGTAAACCTATGCAAAAGGAAAACAATAATTTATTCAATAGTCAGACCCAGACAGGCGGAAATTCAATTGAATTCTTCATCACGATCAGTGCACCGCCAGCGAGAGCAAATGGCAGCGGTTTTCTCAGTAACATTATTCATCGATGGATTCTTCTACCTCGCAAACAAAGCATCGGTCTCTCTTTGTATAATTTTACGGCTCATTGAACGAGAAAATTCTTTCCCTCTCCCTCGATTGATTATGAATGCATAACTTCGTAGTTGTCATCAAGAGCAGAACAATCACTCGTATGAAAGCATCAATTAACTGACGATAATTGGGAATTCCTACAAGTGTTTGAGCAATCCTGGTCAGTGCATAAACTGAAACAACTTCAAAAATTTGTTGACAGACGGTTAGACTGGCTTGAAATTGCAACAACGTGCCCCACTTTGCACGTTGAAAGCGCACGTTCAGATTATTAAATTATTATAATAAACGCGAGATGGTAATGCCTTAAACTTTTCTTTAGCATGGTATCACATACTGGCGTGAAGTGTAAATAAGCATTTTTCTAGCAATGCAAATGAAAGTTTCAATGGGTTCTACTCCATATTTTCTGCGAAACGATTTTGTATCAACAGGAGCTTTTAGTTTGTTATAGTTGAGAACACGATAGATTTTTTATATGTTGTCTTAACCAATGATAACAATTTGTTTTATAACGGTAACCTATGATCGCTTTTTACATTGCTGTGCCTCACAAACGTGACAATAGTTTTCCTCGTACTTATTACGACGAAACTGCCATCATTATTGTAGAATGAGCAAGAAAATATCGTTATACATATATTTTTCTCTTCTTGCATCATAATTCCGACATATTTTCAGCAATGATTTTTCATTACATAAAGTATATGATTACGTTGCTAGTTCAGACGACAAAGTTCCATGCATATACCCGCATTATGAGAAAATAATGCAGCAGTCTTTTGTTATCAAGTTACAGCGCCATCAGAACGTATGCCAGTACAACGAACTCTCCCGGTGGCAAGTTTTTATTCTGCCTTCAATGTTTATATTTCATATACATGAAAATAAATTAGCGTAACCACTGAATTATAGAATTGTGAACTGCTGGCATATAGTTGAATAGCAAAATCAAGATTCATAAATTATACTAGCACTTTCATGTCTCATTTCTCTATACTATTACTTATGAAACCTCTTATTTTTGGTTTAAAATTTTCATAATCCGTTCCAATTTCAAAATCAATCTTTTTCAGTTTGCTTCCAAGTTTTCAAATTTAAATGTTTCCGTCCCGTTTATGAATAACTATTGCGCAAAAATATAATATTATCTCATGAAAAAGTTACCGCGTAAGTTCATATCTTTTTCAAATTAATACGTTGAATTTTTCGTTCCCGCTGCATCAGTTGCTCTTGTCACTAGCAATTACTTACCTTGGTGGACGTTCCGAATGAATAAAACTTGTACCGTTGCCAACATTTTTCAACTCTTAAAAGCGTGAAGATATTTTTCGAGTTCAATAATAGCTTGAAAATTATAAATCTGCCATTGGCCGTTGCATGGCAAGAAAAACGAGTACCTACAGAGATTTGCCCATTTTTGTCTGTTCTGTGGTTGTCAGTTTTATTAGTAACGACATCACAAGCGCATCGCAGACCAGCACACAACAAACAAGAGGGGAGCGCAAACAAGAGAATCGCGTTAGCTCAGCCAAATAAACTTTGACAAAAGCGACAATCTCGTATGAAGAAAAACACACGAAACTTCCGCGAGCGCCGGGGATAAAATTGGTAAAGACTGCAGCGCATAATAGGATCGCTGTTGCGATGCGTGATTTTGTGTCAGTTTTTGAATGTACTATTTTCAGCCTGAGCTAAGCTTGTTGCTTCTAAATAACAATCCGTTTATGGTGCTTCCGAGGCTTCCAACATACGTAGCGTTCCTCTGTGAAGTCAAGTCGTTGAAACAATGCTTGCGATATCCTTCTATCCTCGAATTATTTCATCCGACTATTTTATGTCGCGTCATCCAGAAATCTATCTGTATGCATCAAAAATAACATATTCATCTGAATTCAATTATTAACATAAAGGTTTTAACCCAGGGGTACAATAGTTAAAAAACAAACGTGATTGCTCATAATCCAACGATGGATTTTTATCATATTTCAGTCCAAATAGCTTCTCTTTCATTGAAAATTTCTTGAAAGAATTTGTCTCTGCATTTGACGTAAATTGATTAGTACGATATAATGTATAATGTGTTGTGCTATTGGAATCTTCGATCCTCTAAGGAAGTATTAATTTCTACGTACCAAAATTCATTCATAATAGTTCATGACTTCTCTGAAAATTAAAGTCAGAAAATTTTCCTGCCTTTTGCATAATTCCTATCGCAATGAAATAAGTACTAGAAATAGTTTTAAGAACAACGAAGCCGGATGTAGTTGTCACAAAAAAAATAGTTCTAAAATCGTGCGTGAACCTCCAAAATATAGCATGAAAAGTCTCATTCTGAATGACAGTATGTACGATAAACTACAAAATGCGTTCGGTTCTTTTACCGTATTTACACAAATGCACTGAAGCGTGCACAGATTCGCTCAGGGCTGCGGCGTGGACTAAGCACTTCATTAAGAATGATTCTTATTCCAGAGGCGGCTGCCGTTCTGCCTATTGAGCCGCACACAGGAAAGCAATTTGCGCATAACTTTCTTCGGGTGCGGTACGCCATTCTTTAAAAAAAACTCTAAAAAGTCATACTTAGACTCGAAAAATATATGTATCACGTAAATTTTTTATATCTGTATTAGGTTCACTTGGGGCCTAACATTCGTTGATCGGATGGCGTCTCTATTTAGTCAAACCTGAAGAAACAATATTTTTATGTGATTATCTCTCAGCCTCGCAATGGTTGACAATCTCTCAGCCTCCCAATGTTAACAGATTTTGCAATCGTCTAATAAACAACATTCCACAGTTATTTCTGCTGGAAACCCTTCTTTTCATGTCGGTATTTATTCGATTACAGCTCATTATTTCGTATATATGTATACATTAAATTTAAATACAAGTGTCAGAACAAAAGTAGCGGGTTTGAGTCCGGTAATATCGATCGTATCTCTACAGCTATAACTTCGTTATGAACTCTCCACTAGACAATGAAATTCTTATCTGCCAAATCCCGACGATGAAGAACGCAAGTTTGGCTCTGAAATTCCCACTTGGCAGTAGCAGACAAAAGGAAAACTCTCGTCCTTTATTTGACATGGCATGAACTGTGCTGCAAGCTGGACCATTGTTCTGGACTGTTGATATTTGTCGAAGTTATTGAAGGTTTTACGCACCATGTTACAACGACGTACATGTTTCGTGTTAAGGGAGTACAGCAAGCAGTCAGCAGATATTGACATCCTGTTTATATGAAGAAAGCGTTGTGATGTAGCCGATAAAGCCTTCATGTATACGTTGTATACTTTGATATCAATTTGCGCTCTCGCATAGAAGCTTTCTCTAGCAATGCTCCTTGTCCGTTTCAGAAGATCTCTTCAAAGAGTTTTTCTGCAATATTCC